AATGTACATATTTAAGTATATTTATTAGTGTCATGGAATGATGCAAACTGGATTCTGTTCTGAAATCTTTACGTGACAAACCAAATTTCGGCCCTGAACAATGCCAGATAAAGAACATAGCAAATATTGAGACTATTTTAAGAATTCCTGTGGGAAAGACATCAAATCAATGATTCAGGTATGCACATTTGTGGATGCAGTAATTAGCATTATGCCATCAAAAATAGTAGCCTCAAATCACAACCCACTGGTTGAATATGAGGAAAAACTACAAACTGAAAGGATTTACTCCAATTTAGGAATTTTGCTGCACATCCCCTATAAATACTGTCATTTCCTAAGGTTTCTTACTGGAAAATCTGCTTTCCCCATTCATAAGGAATTACTTGGGGAACTCAGGCAACATTTAATCAGAAAAAAATTAAATCGCTATTCTTTACTATTAACAACTATTCCTTCTAAGATCATGTCACATTTTATTCTGCCATATTTTCTTCCATCTTGGTTATCTGTTATCACTTATATTTCCTGGCCTCCAACTCCTTATCATTTTAGGAAAGTTAAAATTATTTTATACTCTCCTAACAACCATTCCTGTTAGGAAAGAAATTATTTTGATTTATCATTTGGTGGGGCTGTACTAGAAGATCTGAGAGCATGACTGCTTCCACTCTTCTCTTCTTCTGTGCAGAGACAGAAAAACTCCATTCGAAATTACCAAGTACCAGACCCATTAATCCAGTATCATGCTATTTCCAAGTTAGTGCTATCAGAATCTAGAAGAATAAATATCAGGGAGTACATACATACCCCTACTACCAGTCCTATATAAAATGACTTATTCCCACACTGATATGCCCTTATGTTTTCTAAAAACATTAACCAATAATTGGCCTATATTAATTAATGCACAAAAATTTTTAAACAATATGTGTCATTGACTATAAAGGTCACACTCCTACTGATATAGAAATTTCAGGTACTCTAGGATATCATCCAACCTTTCTGGAAATCTATAATTTTCTTTACGTCAAGCCATGTTTATGACTAAAATATATATTAGTAATTAGGCACTTCTGATGAATACACCAATAAATATCATTTTATACTAAACAATGACACATATGCATATAATCACATATGCACAGAATTTTACACTTGGGTTACTCTTTGGTAAAAGTGCCCTCTCAAAGGCTTATGTAGACATAAGATGGCATCTAATATGTGATTTACACATCAACTGAAAAGTTGGATGAGAAAAATTACCTCTAAAATTCAATATATAAAGAAATGTAAAGCCCAGTGTGGTGGGCACAAGCCTATAATCCCAACTAACCTGGAGGCTGAAGCGGGAGAATCTAAAGTTTAAGGCCAGCCTGGACAGTTTAGAGAGACTGACTCAAAATAAACAATCAGAAGTGCTGGGAACATACACGTGCTCAGCAGTGGAGTGCTTGCCTAGCATGTGCAAGGCTCTGGGATAAGACCCAGTCTGCAAAAACAGAGAGAAATGAAAGCTCCCAACAAACACAGATTCAAGTAAGGAGTTTCCATGTTTTTGACTTGAGTGCAGTGAGATTTTCATGTAATACAACTCTGAAAAGTACCTATAAGTTTTAAGTTTTACAGTAAAGAAAGTTCTGCCTCTTGGTATACATCTATATAATCCTCTCAACTTCAAAAAAAAAAAGAAAGAAAAAAAAATTCCATTAAAAGTACATATTCACATTTATATAAATGAACAAAATTTGTATTTATAGCACATACCAGGGCACACCATTTAGTATTCACAATTTATACTCTGTCAATCAGTAGTCATTAGCAAACTACAAAAATAAAAACCATTAACCAGATACACACACACACCACTAAGGGATCCTTACAATTAGGTTTTTAACAGTCTTGAGCTGCAGTTGACAGTTCACAATTGCAGCCATTCATGGGAGTTCCTGGAATATGGCCTATAGAGATCACACTGGTCAGTTATCTATGGAAAGCAATCTCCTACTGTGTTCCTTTTAGGGCCAGTAATATTTTACACTTTCCCCCATTTAGAGGAGTCTGTTCAATGTATAGGTAGTAGTTTAATACAAATTCTGTACCATTCACTGTAAAAGTGATACACAATTCTTTATAAAGTATATTTTCAGCCATTGTATATCCACCAGTTTACATAAAATCAATTTGAAGAGTCTCAACAACTAATCATGAGCCTTTTTAACGAAAATATCTAAAAAAGATATCATGGTAATTAATAACATAGTCAGCAAGTAATGAAATTTGAGAACTTTTGCAATACAATCATCAGCCCTTTCAAAGGTATAACATTTAAGATACATTAATATAAGGCCTGGTCCTGCAATATAAATGACCTTGAAATTGAACTTATGGAGTCTCATATTAGGTAATGGAACCAAAAATCACAAAATAAGAGTTTTCGGCCTAAAACCCACACTAATTTTTGTTTTCCCTCCTTTTCTCAAAAAAAAAGAAAGAAAAAGAAAAAGGAAAAAAAAAAGAAAGATTACATTATTGCATTTACTAAAATCCTAAATTTCTTAAATTTACAAATATTTCCTTGGGATCTAAAGGATTTGTCAACTAGTCACAAAGTTTGTCTTAATTACCCAGGACCTCTCATTCCAATTTATTTTACTTTGAATGACTGCAAATAAAACTGTGTAGAATTTAATAAGGCAATCCAAAACCAACGTACTAAAATTGAGATTTTTTAGTAAAACTGTAGTATCCCTAAAAACAGTCATCTTATAATTTAATTTATGCCTGGAAAACTCTATGATTTCAACCTTAAAACATTAAAATACCCTGTCTTTTACAAAGGCTTTTGGTTTAAAAAAAAAAAAAAATTACTATTTCTACTTAATGGATTCAATCCTTCACCAGGTGTGTTGGTCCTGTGATAAAACGTCAAATGTGTAAGATTACATCTTGGAAACTAGCATGTTAAATTAAAAACCAATGAAAGTTTGTAATAAAAATTAGAATTGCACATTTGATAAGCAACACAAATTTTAAAAGACTGGGGAGAGGGAGGGAAGTCTCATGTTTAAAACAGGACTACACACATATCAAAACCCTTGCACTAGATTAACTGCTGCAAACTGCTAAGAATGTATGATAGTATCTGTAGTTCAAACATGGAGTCTGTGAATGATTCTTCAGATGATCAACTTTTAACACAGTAAGGACAAACAAATGCATCTCTGAGATCATACCCTAAAGAATACATTTCAGAATTTCAGAGATCTGTCAACAGATCTCTCTGCTTCAGTCCATAAAATCTCATTAAAGTTCTGAGAAGTATAATTACATATTCACAAACTAAGAAAGGTGTGATGTATTTTTCATTCATAGATATACTTGAGCATGGAAAGGAGGGGTGGTTGGTAAACCAGTCATTTCTTGAAGAGATATGGGGCAGTGCACAGAAACAGAGGTAATTAAAAGGTTATTTACCAATTTATCAGGAAAAAAAAAATTGGTGTCTTGCAACTAGAAGAGGTAAGATGCCTGTCAATTATTATCAAAGGCGAAAAAAAAATGGACTCAATTTGATTTCAGGTTTGCCCCTATATGTGGAAATGGGAGCATCTATAAAAGGAGAGAGATTTTTCTAAGTGGCTTGTGGAATCAGTTTCTTTACTTGGTAGTCTCACCCATGTAAAATTTCTCAAAGACTAGCTAGCTGAGCTCACTTATGGGTATGTGGAGTTCTCAAGTGGAAGAAAGACTCCCCACAAGCAAGTCACCTATAAAAGAAGATGAACTTTGAATTACAAAAAGTAGTGAAGATAAAAGAATTTCAGTGAGCATTTTTCAAACCAACAGAAGTATATAGCAAAAATACAAGGCTAATTAGAAATGGGAAGTTAAGAAAAGAAAGTGAAGAAACTAAGAAACATAGGTAGAAAAAAATTTTAACATTTTACTGTATCTTTCTACATAAACCCACAAAAATAGTTTTGTTTAAAATTAATCTGGCTCAAAAAACTCTGTAAATAAATATGTAACTGTAAAATGTCTGAACTCACTCTGTAATTTTTAAATGTAATTTAAAATGTTGTAACAAGTATTTTAAAATCTACTGTATTTGTAGCATGTCAAACTTCCCTGCAATGTTTCTTCAAAACCACTAAAAACCCTCATTAAACTATAACTAAACATCAACTCTTGTAGAATCATGTAGCAACACACAATTTTCACTTAGACCATTAAAAAAGCATCCCTTACATAGAGGGAGCCAATTATTGACATTTACACTATAAAATTACTCCTTCAAGAACTACATGTTCTTTAACTATGTTGAAAGAATTTTCAGGCCTTTCCTTTTCTATATTAAAAGGACTCATGGAAGATAAGAACATCTTTCCAATATATTTTTTGTTTAATAAAACAAAAAAATAATATCTTAGAAAAGTCACTGGGAAGTTTCACAACCCTCTTCTATTTAAAGGTTGAACTAAGTATGATCTTTGAAGCTGAATTTGACACTTCACTCTCTCTTCAGCCTTTCCAGATACACTGGAGACCATTCCTTACCTGGATTGTTTTTTTTTTTTTTTTGCTAGAGGGGCAGTCTGCTTTCCCAGAATGGAAAACTTAATTCATGTTTCAGCACCAAAATTCACACTGGTAAAACTGCCATAGTGCTCAAGTGTGATTAATATCTAACAAAAGGACAATCCTTTGGGAGCATACTAGCTACCACCTCTAAATTATTAAGGTTACACTGAAATCCATATTTGAATAAAGTGTTGCATCCCTACCCATTTAAGAAACTTTTTAAGAAACCATGACAAGCCCAGGTCTCTCATTACAGGCTTTTACTTCAACAATTTAAATCAATTTTACTAAACTAAATCTTATATTTAAAAATAAAGAGGCCTCAATTGAAAAAAGAAAATTTCCCAAAGCTGCAGCCTATGCTATGATGTTTGGCCAAGCATTCCTATCCAATATTTAAAATAAGAGTTCCATACCTGTCTTCATCACCATCAACAGGAATAGCTATGCTGAACACAGAGGTGGCGAGGTTGTTCATAGGTGTTAACTGGAGGGGGTTGGCCAGGGCATCTGCAACAGGAGGCTTCACAACAGGCTTATTTTCAGCAATGAGAGAAAGTGGTGGTTGAGGTAGGGGTTCTGATTTTCTTCTAGTATCGTCAACTTGCCCGACTAAAGGCTGGGTCTGAGTCTGAAACTGGCTTAGGTCAGACTGTGGTAGACTTGTCGGTGCGCTGTGAGTGCCTTGGGCTAAGGGCAGCCCAACATGCTGGAGGAGGCTGCTGCTCCTGCTGACTGGCGTATGGCTGCTCAGCTGCTGTGACTGGGCCAGAGGCGCGGGTACATTTGGCATAGTAACAGAAGTGGTAGACACACTAGGCACGCTTGGAGCGGGCAACGCTGCAGGCACGTTTGGAACTCCGGGCACCACGGTGTGAGGGCCACCAGGCACTGCTGACAGCTGACCACTGCCACCGATCTGCGGCGGAGGCACCGACGGGGGCTGCCCGGGCCCCGCAGGACCCATGCCCTGCTGCACCACGCCTCCCACAGCAGCCGGGGGCACACCAGCTGGCTGACAAGGCGCGGCCTGCCCGCCCTGCGTAGGTCCCGGCCCCGGAGCCACAGCTTCACTGGGCTGAGGAGACGCACTCACTAGCTGCGCGGCGGCCGAGGCGGCGTTCTGGCCGGCGCCCAGGGGAAAGCTGGCCGCGGCGGAAGGGGTCGCTCCGGCGCTGGTAGATGAGGGCTGCGCGGGGCTCGGAGGCTGCAGGCCGGACACGTGCTGCTGCAAGTACTCACTCTGGCCGGAGGGCTGTGCCGGCAGCAAGTGCCCAGGCGGCATCTGAGGCTGGGGGTACGAGAAGTGCTGCGGGTGCTGCGCGGCAGAAGCGCCGCCGGCAGGGCCAGGCTGCGGAGGCAGGGGCACAGCCGGCTGCGCCAGGGCTACATTTGTTGGCGGCAGGACCTGTCCCCCGGGCCCCGGAGGGGCGCCGCCCGGCCCGGCCCCCTGGAGCTGGCTCGGCGGTGCGGCTGCCATCATTGGCTGCGGCCCGGCAGAGGCTCCAGCGAACGGCGGCAGCGGAGCCGAGCTTGGAGCCACAGCCCCACCTACGGGCGGCGGCGGCTGCGGCTGCCCAACGCTGAAACTCTGCGGCGCGGCCGGAGCGGGCTGGCTCATCTTCTCCGACGGGGGTGGCTGTGACACAGCAGTCGAGGAGCTGTCAGTTCCCGAGTCGGGCCCGTGCGCCCCCTGCATGGAGGCCACCACCACCACCACCGACCCTCCGGTGGCTCCCAGGCCGCTGTCCCGCTCAGCAGTCTGGTCGAAGGTATTGCTATGCCGAATGCAGTCCCCTGAGCGGGTCAGGACGCTGCTGTCCGAGTCCCGCTCGTAGTACTCCATGCACGTCCATCGGCCGCGGCGGAAGGGTTCCCCGCTGCCGTGGTCCAGCTTGATCACACGGAAACGAGAACTACAAGTGGTGGGGGGCTGCGCTGGAGGGGCCGACCCTGGTCCGCTGGACGAGCCCGCCACTGGGGGGCCGCCGGGTGCCCCCGAGGTGGGGGCCGAGGTGGCGGCCGCCGCCAGGGAACTGGCGAGTGCCCCGGCCACGCTCCGGGCTGAAACGGCTCCTCCTTCGTTGGCGGGCGCAGCCGCCGCGGCCGCCAGCTGCCCGTCCAGGAGGAGGTTCGGGGAGACAGTCCCGGGAGTCTCCGTGTCCCCAACATTGTTGAGCGTCTCTTCAGAGGAGCTGCGCTCGCAGACCTCCTCAGGGCCGTAATCCGTGGCTCGGGAAACGTCGAATATCTCGGAGGAAACGTCCTCAGTGCGTGACTCGTCCGGGTCGTCCAGGCTCTCGGTGTCCTCTGTGATGCTGGTGGCCACCTGGGCAGTGGTGACACTGGTGATTTGGAAGCAGCTCTTCTTCTTGGCCGGCATCTTGGACATGGTGAAGAAGGCTGGCGAGCAGCGAGGACCGCGGCTCCTCGGGGATCCCACTGGAAACCGCGGAGGGCAGCGCAGGGCCCGCAGACAAAGTCCAGTTCGCGCTGGTGCGAGGCCCGCCGCCCTACGAGTCACGGGCCGCTGCGGCCGCCGGGCGAGGCATCCTCCTCTCGCTTCCTCCTCGCCTCCTGCGGCGGCTCCGCCTTCCTTTCAGTCCCGCGGCCGCGGCGCCGCAATTCAATCCCAGCGACGGCGAGCGCGGCGGCAGGGGCGGGCCGGCGGCTTCCTCCGGGCGCGGGCCGCCGCGGTCAGTCCAGCTCGGCGCTCGGCACTCGGCGCGGCCGCAGGCCCGGCGGGGGCGGAGTGGGAGGCGCGGGCGGCGGCGGCGCGAGGGGCGGCGCTGCCCCGCTCGGGCTGCTCCGGCGGCGGCTCTTAGGAGGGTCGGCGGGAGAGTGCGGAGCCGCGGGCTGCTGGGCGGCGCGGAGCCGCGGCCCGCCCTCCCGGCTCAGCCGGAGCGCGGCCCCAGAGACATGTCGCCGTCTCCGGCGGAAGCCCGCTCCGGGGGAGGGAGGCCGGCGCGGTCCTCCCCTGACGGGGGAGCCACCCGCGGGCGGCGGCGGCGCGGCCTCCCCTCGCGGCTCCCGGGAGAGAGAGGGGCGGCGGCGGACGGCGGGCCGGCGGGCGGAGGCGCCCGGGCTGCGTGAGGGAGCGGCGGTGCCTCCCGGCTCCTTCTCAGCGCGCCCGCCTCGGAAACGCGGAGAAACTGAAATTCAAACTGCTGAAGCGGCGGCTGCAGCTCCCTCCCCTCGGCCAAGATGGGGCTGAAATGGCCGCGCCAGGGATGCTGGGAGGAGCAGCCGCAGGCCCGCTGCCGCCGCCGCCGCCGACTAAAATGCCGCCGCTGCCGCAGCCGCCGCCAGCGCCGCAGCCGCCGCCGTTCCGTGACGCACCGGCGTCGTGACGTCACCACCCCGCCCCCTCCGGTTTCCTGCGGAGTTGCGCGTGAAGGCCGCGGGGGAGGGCAGTGGGCGGGGCCAGGGGTTAGAAAGGGGGAGCGGTTTCTTTATTTAAAAAAATTTTAAATTTAAAATGTGCGCCGCAGGTTCCTTGAGAGTTGAGGAGCCGGAGGCAGCTACCATTCCCAACCTCGAGGAGAGCCCCGCGCGTCGTCGGCTGTCCCACTCCGTGGGACTGAGGCCGGAGGCCGGGTGTGCCCCGTCAGTCTCCGCGGAAGGGTCCTGAGAAGTGAGTGCCAGAGGCACCGGCCGTCGCCCGACGGCAGCCCGCCAGACCTACCCCAAGCGGGCCCCTCGGGCTGGAAAGCCTGCCGCCCGCGGTGGCTTCGGGGCCGCTGCCCGGGCGACGTGGATTCCCGGACGGGGAGTTCCCGGATCCGCTGGGTTCCAGGGGGAAGAGTCCACTTCAACTCCTGAGGCTGTTTTCACTTTCAGCACGAAGTCAGCTGTGGGTTTCGTGGGCGCAGAACCTGCAGTGCTCAGAGTCGCAGGTCTGCCTTTTGTTTACTCTCAACTCCTGGGGTCCGGATTGGGCCACGAATGACCCTGACGGTCAGACAGCACTATTCCTTGTCCTGGCAGAGAGCAGCTATGAAAGTACTGTGATTCTATTATCTCATAGCTACTTTCAGCAAAAGAAGGTGGTAAGGCTGTCCTTTTAAACAATGGTAGCTCTTGAACTTTGACATACCAAAGCAGTCCTCCTTTAGGTAGGACCCAAGAAAGCTTGATGGAAATCAAGAGTTCATCTCTATTGTAGCTTCAGAAATCAAATCAAGACTTACATAAATCAGTACATCAACTGTTCTAATCAGTTCTTTGAAAAATAAAAAGACTTTTTATCCCAAAACATGTTTTGAGAATTAAATTTGTACAGAATTTGTAAAGTCTTTAGATGTATTTATAGAGATAGTTTTTTGTTTTTAACTCAGTATGTCCTTCAAACCCAACTGACAGAGGTCAGGATGTGAAATAAGACCACATAATAACATCCCTGTTTCTTAAGGGGGTAGGAGAGTAAAGAGACAAAGTGTAACATTATGCTGCTATTGTGGCAGAGATAGCTAATGGAATGTTTCATTTCCAAATCTGCAGTTTTACTTATTGTTAGAGATAATTTTTCATCAATAAATTAGATGAACTGGTTAAATCCTATATGAAATTATTAAAAAGTTAATTTAATTTTGAATTGATTTACCAGATTGTTAAAAGTGATTTTTAATGGGTGGTGTTGACTGGGAGGTTTTTGGAAAAGTAAATATCATATGCCTGTTTGTTCCATTACATTATGTTATTAAACTTGTTGATTATTTGCCATGATACTCTTAAAGCACACATTTAAAGGGGAAAAAAAGTAATCTGTAAGACCATGTCTCCTTAAAGAATATCTATCTATAGGATTTATTATGAAATGAAAGTAAAGATAAAGCTAATTTAAGAAAGATCAAGAAGTAAGCTACATTCTGGTACAGAGAGGTTAAAAGACATTTTAGGATTATAAAATTTAAATGTTTCACATAGATACTTAAGGATTTGTGTGTGTGTGTGTGTGTGTGTGTGTGTGTGTGTAAACTAATAGTTCTCTTTGAACATAGTGTTTTCCAGAAGTTTAAAGATCCTACCTTCTTTCGTATCTTGTTCTTTAAAAATATAGAACTCAGGAGGCTGAGAGAGGAGGATCACTTAAACTCAGGACTTTTTGAGGCCAGGCTGGGCAACACACTGAGACCTTATCTCTTAACTAACAAAACCAAAACCAACCAACCAACCAAAAAACAAAACAAAACCCTGGTTTAAAAAAAAAATGTAGAGAATTTATTACACTGATCTGTTAGGAAGAATTGATAAGAATTCTGATTGTTGCAATAAGTTTGAAATCATGTACAGAGGACTAAAAGTGGTACTGCTATATCCAAATTACAAAAGGACATCCAGTTCATAGTTGGTCCACAACAAATAAAAACCTTCAATAACTAATAAAAATGACAGAATGTGGGACGGACACACAAGTACCTTGCTGGGTGTATAGACAGTTGTTAGTAAGTACAATGGGACCTGACTCACTAGAACTGGAGAGGTCCCTGAAGACCCTAGCGCCAAGGCTGTGGTCTTAATGCAGCTACCCTGACTTCATACCTGCATCCACAAACCCTAGGTGAGGCTGAGGAAATCCTTGATTATGGTTTCCAGAGCCCCAGCTTGATCATTTGTCCTACATCTGGTACTTCCCTCAAAGATTTCAAATTGCAGCAGATTATGGGAAGTACATTTAGGAAGAACAATGTGGGGGAAAACCCACTAAAAAACCAAGGACTATTTTCACTGATGAAAAAACACTACTTCAGCAAGATCTTCTCATCATTCATAAACATCATACCCTTACACTACTAGGTTATTATCTAACCATATCAGTACCAGATGGTGAATTATAGTCCCAAGATCCTGAAATCTGAGTTACAGATAGAGATACAGAAAACCTGATTGCCCCCATGATACCTATTATATTTAAAATAACAATGATATATTAATCTAAACACTCTTGAGCCAGCAAAAAGAAACTAATACTATTTTGGTAGAAATTAAGGAACTGGCTAGGCTAAGAGAAGTCAACCTTTAGCACTTACGCTGTGACATTTACTGTTCATTCCCTGCATATATCAGGAACTGGGCGGCCTATATCTTGGCCATAAAGTTTTTCTGGGGTTTAGAAATAGTTTACGTTTTCATCACCAAATTGTTGGAATAATACAAAGTGAAGGAGTCATTTTCAGGTTCTGAAAAGCATTGCTAGAAGTAAATCTCAGTTGTCTAAATCAGTAGTACTTGATCTGTTTCTGTGATTTTCCTGGTGTTCCATTTCTGGAACAATATCATATTAAGAAACCTTTGCAGTGAGACCATCGTGTGATATTATCCAAAAATGGAAAAAAAAAAAAAAAAAGGGCAGTGAAAGAGAAGGCAGGCTGAAGAAACCCCAGGACCACTTTATGAGGAAAGTGCAATCTGTTGGAGGTGTGCAAAGTCTTACTTGAGAATGAGGTGTTTAAGATTTTCACATTTAAGAAAACTTCTGTTAGACTCAGAGTTTGATAGACTATGAAATGATGATGTCCTTTTTTTTTTTTTTTTAATAATGACGATTTCCTTGAGTCCCATGACTTTTGAAGTTCAGGCAAAATGTACCACTTGGGTGGAAGAAAAGGATGCATTTTGAAATAATAATAAATACAATGTCCTTTTACAGCCTGTTTTATTTCATCATGAAATTTGGTTTACAATCTTAGAAAACTAAAATCTTAGTCCTCCACAGGACTTTAGCGTCTATCCTAAATGCTTCCCTGTAAGGCAACATGAGTAGAAATCTGTTAATGACTCCCGTACTTCTTCTTTTGCATATAAGGTATGATACCTCTGGGGATAAAATTAAAGAAATCTACATGGCCTAATTGGAGAGATCAGAAGTAAGCAAATTCTGGCTTTGCTCTAAATCTGTTTCATGATTGCTGATGAGTCTTTTAGCCCCTCAGTGTCCCCATTCTTAAAGAGAAATAGTATTGTAGTGAAGAGGCATTCCAGTACAAAGCTTCCAAAACAGTGTGTGTGGGGGGGAATAAGCCACATGGCAGCACTTTGTTATCTTTGGAAGAAAAGATAACAACTCCAAGGGATGCTGATGGAAGTACCGTTTTCAACACCGTTTGTTAAATTAAAAAAGAAAGCCGTCACTAGCTATTTGTGGTTGTATGAAGAAGTTGTTCTGTCATAGATGAGCTAGCTGTTAGCAGATCTGCAATGGCATATCCTGTGATACAGCAAAGCGTCACTGTGTATTCATTCTTGTATATCAATTTGCTGTATTCACAGGTGTGATTATGTATTGCTTACAATGATGATATGCCTGTAATTTTAAGTTGTAACTTCAGCACTCATGGAAGAATATTGAAAGACATTGCTAATTTCTAGACTTCTGGGTTATGAGTCCTTCTGTATGTTATTATTATCAGCTTACACTGATTTTTTTTTAAAAAAAAAAAACATGTTTGAATGTAGAAACTTGTATGAGTTGAATTTAGATGTGAAGGAGGGTCCAGATGTTTCTGACTGATAATCTGAAGGTCACTCTAACCTGGCTGATTAGGTACCAAGTATTGAAAGGCAAAGATAGACTTGACTACCCTGTATTTCCAGTTACATTTTAATTCCGAAGTAACTAGCTCTTTAGTCACTGAAAACAAAACACTTTTAGCC